TCTTACACAGTTATCAAGCTAAGCGTGTCTGTAGTGATGTTTCAGTGTAGGTTCTTACACAGTTATCAAGCTAAACGTGTGTGTAGTGATGTTTCAGTGTAGGTTCTTACACAGTTATCAAGCTAAACGTGTCTGTAGTGATGTTTCAGTGTAGGTTCTTATACAGTTATCAAGCTAAGCGTTTCTGTAGTGATGTTTCAGTGTAGGTTCTTTCACAGTTATCAAGCTAAACGTGCCTGTAGTGATGTTTCAGTGTAGGTTCTTACACAGTTATCAAGCTAAGCGTGTCTGTAGTGATGTTTCAGTGTAGGTTCTTACACAGTTATCAAGCTAAACGTGTCTGTAGGGATGTTTCAGTGTAGGTTCTTACACAGTTATCAAGCTAAGCGTGTCTGTAGGGATGTTTCAGTGTAGGTTCTTACACAGTTATCAAGCTAAGCATTTCTGTAGGGATGTTTCAGTGTAGGTTCTTACACAGTTATCAAGCTAAACGTGTCTGTAGTGATGTTTCAGTGTAGGTTCTTACACAGTTATCAAGCTAAGCGTGTCTGTAGTGATGTTTCAGTGTAGGTTCTTACACAGTTATCAAGCTAAGCGTGTCTGTAGTGATGTTTCAGTGTAGGTTCTTACACAGTTATCAAGCTAAAGCGTGTCTGTAGTGATGTTTTAGTGTAGGTTCTTACACAGTTATCAAGCTAATCGTGTCTGTAGTGATGTTTCAGTGTAGGTTCTTACACAGTTATCAAGCTAAACGTGTGTGTAGTGATGTTTCAGTGTAGGTTCTTACACAGTTATCAAGCTAAACCTGTGTGTAGTGATGTTTCAGTGTAGGTTCTTACACAGTTATCAAGCTAAGCGTGTCTGTAGTGATGTTTCAGTGTAGGTTCTTACACAGTTATCAAGCTTAACGTGTCTGTAGGGATGTTTCAGTGTAGGTTCTTACACAGTTATCAAGCTAAATGTGTCTGTAGGGATGTTTCAGTGTAGGTTCTTACACAATTATCAAGCTAAACGTGTCTGTAGGGATGTTTCCTCTGCCTTGTATTCAGCCCTCACCTGAGACCTGTTTCTTCACCACACACTCAAACACAAAGATATTGTCACCAGCCAGAATACTCAGTCATTTTGTCATCTAAAATTTTCTTTTTCTTTGAATGAATACGAATAATAATATGAATAATAATGAAGATACTTACATTGCTTTATCAGAAATATTCCCAACATTTAACCCCACTTCATGTCTGAATGGAAATAACAAAAAGGAATCTGTGTTAATGTTTTTTATCATGTGTGTAGCTGATCCCTACATTGTGTTATTGGGCAGCGACATAAACCATAGCTAATGTTCTGTTTCTACAACTTTGTTAAATAAACTTCAGAAGTTGTTTAAAAGTTCTGAAGTTTTGGTATTTACTGCAAGTACTGACAATCATTATACCGAGGTTTTATATTTGTCCTGGAGAGGTTCCTCACCTCAGTTGGGTTTTGGCAACCTGGCAAACAGACTGATGGCAATCATGTTTGAACTGGTTGTTTGATTGCCAGCATCTTTTTCCTTTGAAATTTGCCTAGTGGCAAGGTATTGTTGAATTTGGACAAACTTCTTGGGGTGTCTTTCTCCCTAAATGTCAATGATATTTTGGTTTGTTTCTCGTTTGGTCTAAGATATTCAGATAGAGGTGATAAAAGTTTAAACTTTGATTCATGTGGACAGATAGCCAAATACATAACTTGACTCCCCAGATGGGTAGTACATGTGTTAACATGTGTTTCCATGTGTGAGCAGGCATCTCTTTACTATCTGTCCCTAGTATGGTGATCTATTTTGACATTGTATTGTCCAAAACTAATTTTCTACTATTAAAGATACATGCTAGCCAGTTTTAACTCATTTTGTGATAATCTAGTAATTTTACTGTCCTTCGTTGACAGGGCTCTATATATTATATGTATGTATTGTGAATTTAGAGCTAGTTTTAGTCACGATATGGCTGAAATATTGCCGATGTAACTTTAAATCTTAACTCACTCACTCACTCACTCTTTACTATCTTCTTGAAAGAAATTGGTCTGTATCAGAAATTGTAACTAGGGATGCATATAACAAATTTTCTGTTTTCTAAATTTGGTGTGATGGTGTTTTTATTGTACCGGTAACTAATATTGTAATGATGGTGTATATAAATGTATTCCTTTTAACTTTGTATTTAAGATGGACATGTGTATCTGTGTAGACTTTGTCTCTTCGCTGTATTACTGAAATATTGCTGATGCAATGTAACATTGTAACACTCACTTGGTGTCTCTGTATGTAATAGGGTTTGAATACTGCATATCTACACTCAGTGTGTTGACAACTGTGTGAGACTGATGTGTTTTTCAATTTTATAACACTCCAGAAACAGGGATATTGCTGGGTTAGTGCTGATTTCATCAGTGCATCATTCACTGACACTCCATACTCTGATGTTACTGAATGAACCAATCTACACATGTATGTTATTCTTCCAAAGTAATGCAGCTCAATGATCTCTCCAACAGTGGGAGGCCTGCAGCCAGTGTGTTCCTGGATGTTGACAAGCATACAGTCAGTGGTGTGTGTGAACACAGAGGCAAAACTCACTGTTACTGCTTCCATAGACTCCAAACAATGCCATCATGTATAAATCTTCTTTTCACTTGTGCAACAATGGTTGATATTTGTGAAAAAACAAAGTCAGGCCACTTGACACAACAGTTGTCACTCACTGCAAACTAGGCATTCATTGATCGGAATAACGGCCGAGGAAAGCTGCTTAGCCGGATCCCTGATCTTGGGGTAAAAATAACTCCCTGCGACCTTGCTTCATTTGTTTCAACCTGCTTAAATGTCTTATCTCCACTGAGGGGTGATGAAACTAAAGTTTGCACATTATGATTCATCTTTACCCAGTAAGATGGGGGTGTAGTAGGTGACATCACTCAACATGCAATGGTACAGTCAGAAGGAGTGTGTACAAGCATCCACAATGTGTTAACCCTTTCAGTCATAACAGTTCACTGGACTGCTGGTTATTGCAGCAATTAGACATTTATCAACCTGTCATCATCAGAAACCACGTACCGATATAGTCTCTGTCATGATTAAAGTAGAAATTTACAATATTTTATTGATATATTATATTTATATAATTTAAATCTTTGTAAAATAAAAAATAAAAATACTTTCAGTTCCTTGATTTCATAATGGTTTTATGAAAGATAAAACACAAGCCATGTAAGGAGTTACGTGTACTTGATCCATGGTTCCCCTATGACACAATAGATGTGTGCATGTATCTTGTATTCACAGAGCCACCATGGAGGAGAGGAGTGAATAGGTACACCAGGTCACCATGTATTATAATACTCTGAAATGTAATGTTTGGAATCTGATGTAGTGTCATTGTACATTCTTTGACAATGGAAGGACATTTGTATTGAAGAACTGTGTTTTGTGATGACAAATTTTACAGTAAGATATGAATGTTTCTTTCATATTCTTATATTTCATTATGAAACTTGATTTTTGAAGATTTGTTTATCTGCATAATTGTGTTTTTTAAACCATTGCCTTTTGTAAAATGTATTTTATGTTACTTGATGTTTTTAACAAAATAGAATATTTTTTTATTTGGAAACTGATATGCTCTTCTTTTTTTTGTTCAGTGGTGGCTGATGAAAATTTTGCTTTCATTGTTGTATTAATCATTTGTTTACAAGCTTTATCATCTACTGGCTCCAGACAAGTAGCTATAGAACTGATCAATCTGATCTCTAGTGGGTAAACAAACATGTCCAGGTACCATCATGCACTCATTATATCCAAAGATTAATGGACTCGATCGTCAATTATCAGCTGCTTGATTGTGTGATGAAGTGATGTGTAAATACTACACTTACAATAGCGGTTCTCAAAGTATACTGTACAAAGTATACATGGATTACAAATAGATTCTTTTGTGGTTTTTCATTCTGATTCCAGTATACCAGTTCCCCATTCAGAAATGTACTCATTGAAGGTAATACTTGTAGTGGGAGGTAGGGCAATGTGAATCTCAAATGCATTGATACTGAAAGGTTGTTTCAAGTCAGGTTTTTGTTTGTTGTAACATTTTGTAAATTTTGTTTATGTTATGACTAAGCGAGGTAATATTTTATACTGCAGTTGTCAGGTATATTCTCTATATACCTAACATAATTGTGTATTAGCTAAATAAAACTTCTGTTGTGGTTCAAGTGAGACATTAGGTGGCAATACTGTGTGAAATGGACAGCTGTGCTGTATGTAGTGTCGAGATGTTGTGTGTGTCTACCCATCTGACCTAGCAAATGTGTGGAAATACCTGGGTACCACAATAGCCCTCTTGTTATCAGACAGGAATCTAATACTCTGGACACTTACCTGAGAAATGTGCTTACCTCAACAACTATGACTGCCCTGTAGTGACTTCATTAATGAAAAACACAGGCATCAGCAGTTCATGAAAATACACCTTCAAGTACAATAGGAATGTTTAGCCTTTTCCTTTATTGGCCTTGATTAGCTGGAGCTATTGTCTGGGCAGAAGCTGGGAGGGGGAATACTGTAAGGGAGTACAACAGGGCCAGTTACTCAGCTGGAACACCAAGACTTGGCTGGCTGTCAGCTTTTGTCAAGCTTACCTGGATAGCAGGTCATGTGACCTGCTGAACAACTCGTCAGTGTTACCTGAGAATCAAATGGACATGAGAGGTGTGCTTGTTTGACATAGCTCAACAGAAAATATACAATTTGTATGAGGGATATTTTACCTGGATATGTGCAGAGATTGTGTGTAGTGGTCATTTTCACCTGGTTGGAATTCTAATTTGGATTTACCTGTGGTATTACACGAGGCCTATCAATGTTTGGACGAAAGAAGAAACAGGTTTTGAAGGTGGAGGCAGGTGATATGGTAAGTGTTGCTAGTTTTGTAACCAACAATTTTATCCATTTTCAGCGTTCCCATGCAGGACCTTAGAGTTCTCCTGGCAGCCAAAAGCAAGGTGTCCCCCACTGGGTATATACTAAGTGTGTATTCGGATGAGACAGGCAAACCTTTGGATTATAAAGCCAATCAAACTATTGGCTCATTAGAAGGACGGACTGTTCAGCTCCAGTCTAAACATAAGGAAAAAGAGGTTGAAAAACGAATGATGAAGAAAGACTCATCAAAGAATTTACAGCCATTTGAGGTAATGTGTGATTCATGATAAAGTTATTTGATTACATTTCAGCTGCCATTGTTGTCACCTGACAGGTGAAATTAACCTGGTTATGGTGAGTGTTTACGTTGTCTGTTGCCTGTTTCCAGGTATTACTCACTGGCCATAGATTACAATATAAGCAGTCAGTATACCTGGGATGTTGTCATCTCCATCTGCACAGTAATTAAGGGCTTTTGAATCGAATGATTGTATTCTGTAAATAGAGCAACATTGTAAATCTTAGGATCACGAACCAGGAATGGCAAAATTTTTCACTGTCATGTCTGTACGTATACGCACAGACAAGTCAAGTGTCTCCCCCAAGCCCTGACCCTTCCACAAGATAAATGCTGCCGGAAACTTACTGTATGTGTGTGTACATAATATATATATGATAAATTATCACAGTAAATTATGCTGTGACATAAATTCGTTAACAAAATTCCAAAAGGGAATTAGACAATTTTTTTAAGGAATATACTTTTATATGCACAATAAATTCACAATGTTGGTGAAAAACAGCACTATTTTTATCCATCTTCATCCATCCCCGCCATCCCACTATATACAAGTGATCCAACCATCTTTCTCACCTTGTATACATACACGTCCTACCATCTTTCTCACCTTGTATACAAATGTCCTACCATCTTTTTCATCTTGTAGACCGCCTCCGTGGTGTAGTGGTTAGGGCATCCGTCCGGAGAGCAGAAGGTTGCGGGTTCGATCCCCGACCGTGTCATACCAATAGACGTTAAAATATGGTACTTGTTGGTCCCTGCCTGGCACTCGGCATTAATGTGTACAACAAGGACTGGTCGGCTCGGAGTCAGTATAATGTGTCTGAGTGGGGTATTCATGCTTCACTGCGGCATGGTATCTCAGTGGGCTAGCACTATAAAACCAGCTTAAGTCTTGGCTAGTACAAGCAGCCGCACATACACATACACATGCATGCACGTCGTCATATCAGCGAAATATTCTCAAGCATGACAGAAAAAAACAATTTCGCCTCACCTCACCTCTCATCTTGTATACATACACGTCCTACCATCTTTCTCACCTTGTATACATACACGTCCTACCATCTTTCTCACCTTGTATACATACATGTCCTACCATCTTTCTCACCTTGTATACATACATGTCCTACCGTCTTTCTCACCATGTATACATACATGTACTACCGTTTTTCTCACCTTGTATCCATACACGTCCTGCCCTCTTTATCACCTTGTATACAAATGTCCTACCATCTTTCTCATCTTGTATACATACACGTCCTACCATTTTTCTCACCTTGTATACATACACGTCCTACCATCTTTCTCACCTTGTATACATACATGTACTACCGTTTTTCTCACCTTGTATCCATACACGTCCTGCCCTCTTTATCACCTTGTATACAAATGTCCTACCATCTTTCTCATCTTGTATACATACACGTCCTACCATCTTTCTCACCTTGTATACAAATGTCCTACCATCTTTCTTACTTGGTACACAAGTAATCCTACCATCTTTCTCACCTCACATACAGTTTACCCCACCAAATGCTACCCGACCTTCCTGCTAACCCATCTCAAAACCTGACCCACAGGAAGGGTAGAGCGTATTGTGTATGACTGTCAGCCTGTGATGCAGCTGTGATGAGCACTGTAGACTATATGAGTAGCATTAGAATAATGACCCACAGGATTGTAGAGCGTATTGTGTATGACTGTCAGCCTGTGATGCAGCTGTGATGAGCACTGTAGACTATATGAGTAGCATTAGAATAATGACCCACAGGAAGGGTAGAGCATATTGTGTATGACTGTCAGCCTGTGATGCAGATGTGATGAGCACTGTAGACTATATGAGTAGCATTAGAATAATGACCCACAGGAAGGGTAGAGCATATTGTGTATGACTGTCAGCCTGTGATGCAGCTGTGATGAGCACAGTAGACTATATGAGTAGCATTAGAATAATGACCCACAGGAAGGGTAGAGCATATTGTGTATGACTGTCAGCCTGTGATGCAGCTGTGATGAGCACTGTAGACTATATGAGTAGCATTAGAATATTGACCCACAGGAAGGGTAGAGCATATTGTGTATGACTGTCAGCCTGTGATGCAGCTGTGATGAGCACAGTAGACTATATAAGTAGCATTAGAATAATGATGGAGTACACACAGGATTCCACACTCCCACAACAAGTCAATTATTGACAGTCTTATTATACAAGAAGTTTGGAAACAGTTATGCCTTTTTGGAAAAAATAATAAAATTTGTAACTATAATACCTGATGTTTCCTAACCCCTTACAGACATATTTACACTGGCAAGGTACATATATGTCCTAAATACTGCTTAGTGAGTTGTGAACGTGGAATGTCTTGTACACACATGGTGTGTTAGAAGCCTATGTTTCTTAATGATGAAGGCTTTTCTTTGTCATCTACTGTTTCTTTTAGTTCTTGGCTACTTCGATATCCAATTTCTCATTGACTGATTTAGCAAGGCCACACATGTTGAAGGGCCACACTCTCACTGCTCACTTTGATGGATGTGCTGGAGTACTCAGCTGTAGAAATTAACCCCACGTTCAATTCATCAAAGGTTACAAAGTGTGATGCACAGCATGGACTTTTTTAAACCATTTACACAAGTCAAATGTATTTAGTAGATTTATCCAGTGAGGCCAAACACACCATTTTTTCATATTGCCTATGTATTTCAGATGTGTTACCTGTGATATCAGCTCCATTTTGTGTCATTTTCAGTCATGTACATCACATGAAAGTTGATTACTCTGGAACAACCACATGATGACTGTATTGACTTCAACCACATGATGAGTGTATGGACTTCAACCACATGATGACTGTATTGACTTCAACCACATGATGACTGTATGGACATGACTATCATGTTGACAGCAGTAGTAGCTGTAGTAGCCAGAGATGGCCTTTTCTTTTCTTGTTGTCCAACAACCATGACTATCATCTGAGTCAGGACGGTGTGACACCATCCAGCCATCTGGCAGCTGAAGGTCTGCTACTTGAATGACATGTAGCACCAGATGGGTAGGGTGACACACAACAGTGCTTTCACATATCCCCAACATTTGTCAACTATATCTGTATATATGGTGCTCAGTACCCCCACCCAGCTTCCATGTCATATTTCCATTGTGTTGATTGTTTAGTATACATGTTAATTCTTCATTCCATTGAACATGATTTTTTTAATATTAATTTTAGCAAGAAACAAAGTCATGATGACACACTTTAAAACTACAAATTTTTCCTTATCCTGACTCATGCTCTTTTGCTTGTCTCCTTCCTCTTGTGAACGTTAGTGGAACACTTGTATCTCCTATTGAAGCTCCCTTCAATAAAGAACAGACGTAAAATCCCTACTCACCACGAGTTATCTGTGTGGCCGTTTTGGCCGGAAAGCGGCGCCACCGTACTCCCCATGCTTCACTCTCTCCTTCTTCGCCCTGTGGGCAGGTTGTGAGAGTGCCTGTGTCTCCTATACGGCACTATATCCTTTAATTACTTAGTTATTCTCCTCTATTCTACTTTTATAGAGGTTTAGTTAGTATTCTTCAACAATATGGTTTGATATTTAATCGTATTTAGCACTGTTTATTCACAGAATTGTCCGTGTTTGTTCAGTTGTTTACATTTCATGAAAACCTATTTTCGTTGTAGGTTTAGGTTCGCTGCTGCAAACCCGCATTGACTGTGCCCTAGCTGCACAACAACATGTACTTCCAGCTATAGCTGTAATCTTTATCAGCATTTAATAGAAATTCAATTTAATAAATAATTTTTCTCTGTACTTAGACATCCTACCGACAAATCCAGGTGACTTTACAAGTAATGGATAAACTGGTTGAGTCCCTCACGAACTGTCTACTGCTGTCAGACAACTTACTACCATCAAGTGACCTGCCGGAGGTGTCCTCGGAGGATGGGCGTGGGATGTTGTCCGCCATTACTTCGAAGACGTTGGCTTCTACAGTCGGACAACCCCTCAACGCAGACGTAGAAGAAGAAGCCATCCTCTACGCAGAATGAAGCCTCACAGACATCGTCCCGATGGCAGTGAGATGACTTCATGATCAGCCGCTGCTGATCATCCCAGAGATACAGCACGCAGTCCGAGGGCAGCAGATGAGCGATCCCTGGACCATATCGCTATCAACGCAGAGAGGGCAGCTCTACAATCATCGCAGACGATCAATAGAAGCCATCCTCTACCCAGAGAAGGCTACACACCCCTCAGATGACGACCAACTCTACAGGGACATCTGCGCAGACTACAAGGACTTTCTCTGCCGAGATTGTCCCGATGACTGAACAGGGACTCTAAGATGATCAACCGATCATCATCCCAGAGGTTCATCCGAAGAAAAGACCAGTCTCAGCTACGGTGACTTCAGCGCAGATCTCCACGCAACCCGAGGTATCTACGCTGACAACAGATGAGCGTCCTGTGGGCCACGTCGCTATCACCGCAGAAAGGGCAACGCTACTACCACCGCAGACCTTCAACCTGGGGGACTTTATGCAGCAGTTCTCCCAACAAATCATGGAGATGATGGAGCAGCGTTACGGCCTGGAGAAGAAGTAACAGCCAGCCCACAAAAAGGTCCCGAGCCTTCGCGAAGGCTCCAACGCAGACGTCGTCTCTGAGGGACCCTCCATCAACGTGACATCTGGCAGCAGATCTACACTGCAGGACCAGCCTGCGCGAAGGTCGACTCAACCATCCCCTGCGGCTGACTCGGACGATCAGCATCCGCGAAGGCATTCGTGAAGGACGACTCGGTCATCACCTGCTGCGGATTCGACGATCAGCATTCGCAAAGGCGTTCGCGAAGGAGGAATCGCCCATCCCCGGATACAGAATCGGACGACCAGCGTTCGCGAAGGCGTTCGTGAAGGACCAGTCGCCATTCCCCAGATGCGGAATCAGATGATCAGC